GATGTGTAAAACATTTTTTCATTATAGTTTACTGAGCATTAGTGACTTTTTACAAACGTCTTCAGAAATTCGATACTTATGTCGCCATCTAGTGAGATTGATTTGGAATGATTCAAGATTTATAGGTGTCGCAGTCGGATTGTATAATCCGCCGTTTTACATTACCACTAGGCATTTTACATTACAGCTCTGTTTTGTAATACAGCGGTTCAACGTTTAGGCGGATTGAATACGGCTGAATGAAAATCCGCCGGAATGTATTCGGCGCCAAACGTTCTTCAATACGGCTAGCCGCAATGTAAAACAGCGTGTCATTACCCGCCGCTTTGACAATTTTTAGTTCCCATTTTCAATACCGTGGCGCTGCCTGACATAACAACAACAATGGCATCTGATGCAGAAAATGTGTTGCTAAATTACGGAGTTATTTCTGAATTTAATAAAGAAAACGTTATAAATATGTGTGTTGACAGTGAGTTTAAGAACAATTTTAACTTGCAATTGTAGAATTTCTTTTCTTCACAATGTGGAACAGTCAAAAAACCGTGGACAAGGGACCGAGTTTTGGAGGTTATAGCCCACATCAAAACCGCTAAAGTGGCTATGGATTCTGGTGTTCGGTGGAATCCTACTCAATATTATTGATGCAAAAAGTATGATATTATGACAGTGGCCGGTGAAGATTTTGAGATATCTTTTAAGATGTTTTTACCTTGTGATTACTCATTATGTTTAAAAATGACTAAAGCCAAATATTTTATTTATTATTAACTTTAAAAAAAAGTTTATTTGTTTTGAGATGGCTGTCCCGTGTGATTTATAAAAAAACAAAAAAATGACTGAAGCCAAATATATAATTTAGTATTACTTACAGTAACGAAAATAACTAAGGAATATCGTGAGAAGAAATCTGTCTTATTAAAATTTATTTTCATTAAACATTGTTTTATTTTGTAAGTTTGGTCACCCTACAATCTAAATAGTTGTACGATGCGGCTAAACGTGGGCCGCCGTATTGAAGAACGTATCGCAATGACAATCCGTCTAAACGTTGAACCGCCGTATTACAAAACAGAGCTGTAATGTAAAATGCCTAGTGGTAATGTAAAACGGCGGATTATACAATCCGACTGCGACATAGGCATCGGGTTCCCGTGGTATTACTAACTAGCCTCGTCCCCCGACAGGAGCTGAACGGGTTCTACATCCCGGAGATGACGTCAGTGGTGTGCGCGTCGGCGGCGGAGATGGTCCGCGTGATGCGCGCGGGCAACCGCCACCGCGCCGCCGGCCGCACCGACATGAACGAGCACTCGTCGCGCTCGCACGCCGTGTTCCTCGTCACCGTAGAAACCGCGCACCGCACCACCAACCGCATACGGTGCGTATGATGCTTCAAGGTTTCTTCAGGCTAATAGATCCTACTTACTTGATAGATACAATAAATAAACTCTTGCATTGTATATTTTGGACAGCTTACGTTCCTTGTTAAATTGATATGACAATGAATATTCACGAGTAAATTATACTATCAGTTAACTTATCATAGTCTATTAAGCGCATCGCCTTGTAGGACTTTCAAGGTCCTTGGTCTTTGAATCCACTATAATCCTTCAACTTCAGGAAATAAGTTGCCTAGATAAGTGTTCCTCGTCACCGTCGAGACCGCGCACCGCACCACCAACCGCATTCGGTGCGTATGATGCTTCATAGTTTCAGGTTCAGAAGGTCGCCATTTATCTGTTGATGATCTGTTTTAAGGCCTCAGCTTCGAGTTTAGCGGGCAGCGGGGCGGGAGCGGCGGCGGCGCGGGAGCGGGGCGGGCAACGCAGACCCGTTCTCGAAACATGCGGGCAGCTCGCGCGGCGCTTTAGCGACGAAGTGTTGTGTTCGGGGTTGTGTTGTCGAGATATTTGTTTTTATTCGCAAACGAAATGTCTGAACAACGGCGACAATTTTATTTCGATTCAAATTTATTCCTAACGCTCGATTTATTGTGGGCAAAAGAAGGAGTGCGCTGCCCGCTCGTTGCCCGCTCCCGCGCCACTGTTTTCGAGAACCGGTCTATTTGATTTGGCATGTATTTAAATGATCTTTTTAAATTAGCAAAAACGGCAAATAAAAAAATCTATTTGGTCATCTATTTTAATGATTGATCCTCTTTCTTTGAGACATAAAATAAATAAAATCGATCGATATTTTAACCTCTTTTGAACTACGCAAAAAAAATTGAGATGTAAAAATTATATCTGATCGTTACTTGTTGGTCCTCAAAAATAAAAGAAATGAGCACCAAATATTCAATATTGTGATACTTTTTTAAATAATTCGATTTGTATAAATTATTTTTTGTCTATATCAAATAATCTTCAAAATAATTATGTTATGGTACTTATTTTTATTAAGTTGTAGTCAAAGGATGGAAACTATTTAAAGGCGCTTGATGTTCAAAGATTTTTTTTTATTAAAAAAGCATACTTAACACGTTCACACTGCGTTATCGGGTCGAATTGACCTTAGGTGCTGGATGCGTTGGTGCGGGATGGATATATTCGGTCTTTTCAGTAGTACGAAAGATAAATATTCAAAGCTTGTAATTTAAACAAACATGGCAATGTACCATTCTGCTTGCTTATTGGCCGCTAAGCCCTTGGCCAACTCAGTAACCAATGACGGACGATTGTCACTCAACCACAAAGTACCGCGTAAATTAAAAGATATTTTTTAATTAAAAATATTAACCAATAATATTTTTTGTTAGATCAAATATATTTTAAAGTTAAGTTATACATAAATCGAAATGTATTTATTAGGTGATCAATAATAAAAGGCAAACTTGATATAAAAATCATCAAATTAACAAAATTAAAGATCAATAACTAAAAAAGAGGATCAAATATTATTTTTGTTTACCAAATATTAAAAGAGTATGTTAAACATAAATATTACGTTACCTTAAATGAAGATCATTCATAATTTATCCGTAGATCAACTAATATAGACCCAATAATTAATATAAAGATAAAATATAATAAAAAACATCATTTATTTTTAAAAGTGCACATACAAAAAAGATCAATTAGTTTTTAGAGGATCAAATAATATTGTCCCATTTGATTTTACGCATAAGATCCTGCCGCTCCCGCCCCGCTGCCCGCTAAACTCGAGGCTGAGGCCTAACAGCAGAAAAGACACAACGTCTTTACATGTAAACGCGTTCCAATAGCCGAGGCGTAGACCATCGATTTTTCGCTGGCCGATCAGTGTGGGCATGTATGGAGGTGCGCACATTACACCGATTTGATTTGGCCGATTCTTCATACAAATTAAATTAGGCCCAACTATCGGCTAACTATAAATCGGTGGTCTGCGCCTAGTCTTAATCGTTAATTGGACCAGCCTCCAACCAGCCAGCCAGTAAAAGAAATGTCCGTTAAAATAATTCGCATAGGAACTTCGGCTCCAAATGTAAAACGACGTGACAGGCGTACCTATAAGAGACAGACATCCTAGTTTATAAGTGTACTTACTTACATAATACCACAAAAGTCTGCTGCCAAAACCGACGTGTTGCATAAAAAGCATGTAATATTTCACTAGCTTATCGTGTAAATAAATATTATAGCAGCCATCTTTAAGCGAAGTAATAGATGTGGGATTATTGTGAATAACCTTTGGTGTAGCAAATTGCAGACAGATTTGATTACCAGTTTCCTAATTGGCCGAAGTCAGCCGAAAGGCGAATTAGCGCGGGTTACTCACCACCGCGCACTCGCCAGACTTTAGTTGAACGGCTTCATTATACTAATGTCTTACAACAAACTTAGAAACAGTGCACTTACCTTCCCAAGTTACCCTTCGACAATGTTTCTCTTCCAACTAAAATCGTGAACATGAATTCTTGACGTCACCGCGTCTTGGATATACTCGTAGGTACATCAAGACACATAGGTACAGTTCGTACATGGTACCATTGTATGCATAGTTCCTACTTACTTGATAGATACAATAAATAACTCTTGCATTGTATACAGTGTGAGTCACGTTAAAGTGTACATATGAAAATAGATGAAACTAGACCTATTTTTATCGACAAAAAAGAGGTCAAAAAATTTTTGAGATTTTTTTTTAATTTTTTATAGAATTTTTTTTCTTCAAATTACTTATTGTAAAGAAAACGTAATAACTTTTAAACTAAGCGGTATATCCTGATAAAATAAAAACAGTAATATTGCTAAACAACAGGCGATACTAAAAAAATACATAAAATACACAAAAAATGCCAACAAATAATAAAAAATGATACTATTTGAAAAAAATCCGCTTAAAAATTCGTGTTTTTTTGGTTATTTTATAAATGTCTCCAAAAAATGCCCCTATAACCGGTGGTTTTTTTTTTACTTTGTATTATTTTCTATCGTATTATCTTTGTAAAACCAAAAATCGCATGTCTCTATCCCTATCACAACTTTTGCTATGATCGTTTGAACAAAGGCCTGCCACAACATTATTCTCCGCTACAGGTAGAGACAATTTTAATTTTAACTAAAATGCTTATTTTACTTCGAAATCTTTTGTTTTTATTTGAAATCTAACTTGTCTTTATCAAAATTACAAATCTAGAGCCATTTTCAGTATTGTTGTTAACGAAGCGTTGAATGGCGCGCCCGGAGAGGCTTAGTTCAAACGATCATTGTAAACGTTGTGATAGGGATAGAGACATGCGATTCTTCGTTTTACGAAGGTAATACGATAGAGAATAATACAAAGTAATAAAAACTACCAGTTATAGGGGCATTTTTTGGAGAAATTTATCAAATAACCAAAAAAACACGAATTTTTAAGCGGATTTTTTTCAAAAAGTATTTTTTTTTTATTATTTGTTGGCATTTTTGTGTATTTTATGTATTTTTTTAATATTGCCTGTTATTTAGCATTATTACTGTTTTTATTTTATCAAGATATACCGCTTAGTTTAAAAGTTATTATGTTTTCTTTACAATAAGTAATTGGAAGAAAAAATATTCTATAAAAAATTAAAAAAAAATTAAAAAAAGTTTTTTGACCTCTTTTTTGTCGATAAAAATAGGTCTAGTTTCATCTATTTTCATATGTACACTTTAACGTGACTCACACTGTATTTTGGGCAGCTTACGTTTCTTGTTAAATTGATATAACAATGAATATTCACGAGTAAATTATACTATCAGTCACCTTATCATAGTCTATTAAGCGCATCGCCTTGTAGGACTTTCAAGGTCCTTCGTCTTTGAATCCACTATAATCCTTCAACTTCAGGAAATCAGTTGCTTAGAAAAGCATTTCTCTTTAAATTTTTAAGTCCGAGATTAAGCCTCTTATACTCCAATATTGTAGTTTAATCCCTGATCGTTCTTCACAACGCGAAACGTGTGAAGTTCATGCTGCAAACTTGACCCTCGACTCCTTTGCAGGCGGACCTTCTGTGTTCCTCCCTGTGTTGTGGCATTACTTTTAGAAAAACTTATCAATGAACGTCTTGGCCGGCAGCCAACATGATATTGGATTGGAAGTTTGGAACAATAGGCCTTTGTAGATAGTGAAAGTACTATGACAAATGGCAACAGAGGGTCCTTTGATATTAAATTGGAAGATAATTTTTCAGAATCTAATTGGTTTTTTGCGTGAGGTTATTCTGTCTGTATAATAGAGTTCTGACCCAGCTGAAAATACGGTTTAAAGAGATTTGTCTTATAGTTTCGCACAATGAAACTATAACTTGCTCTTTACTCAGTCTGTATTTTAATGATTCTTTACTTGGTCTCATTTCTGAACATTCATTGAAACAAAAACATCGTCTCCAAACAACGTAAATATGATTACAGGTAAAACAATAGCCAATTCGTTTGACCGTAATGTGTTTTTGATTTATAGCCCATTTCCATGATTTGATTGACGCAAAAATATGGTTATTTGTTAATGCGGGACTGAGGCCAGTTCCACGAAGGCTCCTTGAACCAGTGACGTGATTAATCAACGCGCTAAACGAAGCATTGCGTAGGCGCATCAGCGCAGTACAGGTGCTCCCAGTAGTTCCTGGTAGACCTGCATTGGACACAATGATAGATGAAGAACAAAAACACCCCAAGCATGGTATATGATCATCGGTAATCTCTTAGAGACCTTATGGCAAAGTTTCACCCAGCTAGTAGAGTCTCATTCCCTCGTCGGTTCCTTGAGGATCGTGACATAATTTGAAAAATACGACAGCAGGTATTTTCCACTTAAACCTACATTTTAATGTGCTTTTACGAGAAGTGGACATACATACATATTGGGGAGATGGAGTTGTGTTAATTATCCTTCCCAGTTGGTACCGTGCCTGTACCCACTGTGGCACAA